TCTGTGGAAGGCAACAGGCAACATGGAGCGTTAGCTTCCCCTGGAGCTGCTAGTTACTGCAGAAGCCAGGATGAACCCTCGTGTTGTATTTCAGCACCAGGGAGACATTCCTAGTGGTGTCTCTATCTTCTGCCTTCGCACTCATGGTCAGTCTTGGCAGCTCTTGATCCCAAACACCAGCACCCACAAACAAATAAGGAAACACCCTGTGGCAGGCGGGTCGGAAGCGGTGCCATGCGCTAGAAATTCCTTGTCCCCGCATCCGGCAGCACCTGAGGGTGTCTCCTCCCTGCCTCTCCCCAGGGTGCTGCAGCTCATGAACCTGACAGACTCTCGCCTGGCTCAGGCTGGCAATGAGAAGTTGGAGCTTGCCATGCTCAGCTTCTTCGAGCAGTTTCGAAAGATCTACATTGGAGATCAGGTGCAGAAGTCTTCCAAGGTAATTCCCTTTCCTGTGTATCTTCCAATCATGCCAAATGCAGTAATATCTTGAGACCTGGGTGCAGTCGTGTTGCCTCCCAGGTTCTGTGGGTGACTTCAGATGACTTCCTCACACCAGCACAAAGCCCTGACTTGCTGGATGCACCTCAGCATTTGAGCTTTGCTTTCCTGACTCTAAAGCGAGGATGAATAAACGGTCCCTTCATCCCAGGGCAGTTGCAAATGTGCTGGGCTCTGAATGCCGTGGTGACAGGATGCAAAGAACAGGAACATCTCAGCCTAGAGCCCCGTTCCCTTCCAGTAACTTGTGACCTTCCCTCGCCACCGCGGAGGCTTCGCACGGCGTCGCCGGTGCCTTGTTGGGCAGCTCTGAGCTCGCTGTTGTTTCTCCCTCCAGCTGTACCGGCGGCTCTCGGAGGTGCTCGGCCTGAACGACGAGACCATGGTCCTGAGCGTCTTCATCGGGAAAATGTAAGTGTTCCTGCCCGCAGGCAGCAGTGCCCAGGGCCTGCCTGAAGGTGTAACTGGGACACCTGGAATCCGAGGCAGCGTTGTCAGTCTAAACTAGTGACGGTAACTTGAGAGACTTATCAGCTCTGATCAGGGGCTTAAGTTGTGCACGGTATCCGGGATTGATTTTGCTGCTGTGGACTCCAGCCTGGGCCACGGAGACACAAAAATCCACCCTGCACCAGGACAATGGAGTCGCTTTCCAGTGCCTGCTTAATAAAACCAAAGCCAGAACGGGGACAGCTTCAAGTACTCGTGCCCTCTCGCTGGACTGTTGCCAATCACCAGCCACGAAAGCTCTGAGGGGAGGGCACTTCTCTATCAAAGTGCTGGGGTTTTTTCCTTTTTCTTTCAGTTATTTTTTTTCCAAATAGCGCTTAGTGCCAGAGTAGCACAAATCTTGTCCTTCCAGTTCCGTTAGACGCCCTGTTCTGCCTGCTGCTTGGCAGCCTTCCCGCAGACCCCTCCTCGCCCGAGTTTTCTCGTGGCTTTGGGAGCCTCCGGTAGCGCCTTAACGCGCTCACCCGGCCCCGGGGCCGGCGCCCAGTGCCACGTGCCTGGGGACACGCAGCCAGCAGCCTCCCCTGGGCCTCCTTAGCCTCCCCTGGGCCTCCTTAGCCTCCCCTGGGCCTCCTTAGCCTCTCCCCGTCGAGATGTGCCCGGGGCCTGGCCTACCCCGACGCGCCCACAGGGGCGAGATGGCTCTCCTGGAAGGAGCAAGGGCTACTAGAATTCTGCAGCTGACAGTGGATGGTGCAGGTGCAGAATTGCATACGGCTGCATGTTGTCACTGCCGCAGAATTCTCTTACCCTTGCTGCAGAAATCAGCCCTGGAGAGCCACAGAATTCCAAGGGCCTGGGTATGGGCCAGTGTAGCTTGGGACCCAAGTAGTGAAGATTATCTGAAGGATAATTTTCTAGTCAACCAAATGTAAGTACAGTAATTTTATACCAATATTTTGTGGCTTGTGATGTCTGTGGTTCTGGTGGAGGGTGGAACTGATGATGTTGGGTGACTTTTGCCTGGAAGAATCTGCCACACAGCAAAGGAGAAACCAAGCAAACCCCTCTGACGCGTCCTTGTTGTGCTCTCCCCTAGCATCACGAACCTGAAGTACTGGGGTCGCTGTGAACCTATCACTTCCAAGACTCTGCAGCTGCTCAACGACCTCTCCATCGGATATCCTTTTGGGAAGAGCCGGGAGCGTACAAAGCACTTCAGTTTCACGAGGGGTGACGAGCCACCCAGCCGCTCAGTGGGAACAGGATGTCTTTGCACATAACGGATTCCAAAAGCAGATTTAATCTTCTGGATAGAGGAAAGAGCAGAGTAGAAGCGCTTGCTCGAGTCTTTCGTCTAGTTGTTGTGTTCCAGCTGGTGACTGCAGTTTCATCAGCTTTTTAGTGGGCATCGTAGCTGCCTTGTAACCTACCATCTCTCCAGTCGGGATCTGTGGGCACTGACAGTCTATTTTATGGTCTTCTACTTGTTCTTTGTGCCACGTAAATGTAGGTCTACATAGACAAAAGCAATGTAGTAAGAGTCCTTGAAACAGAAGAGAGGCTAGAATGTTTTACATAAAATAGACATAAACCCCCTTTCAGCTTTGCTCTGGAGGGTGCTTTGCAAGGACAGGAAATGTTTTGCTGATTCTGCTGCTTCCTTAACACCCCCTTTACATACAGTAGTGTTAGAAAGCTGGTGAAACTCAGCGCTGTCCAGTTCATGCTGAACAATCACACGGTAAGTCCTCGTGTGTTGAGAAAATCCCCACACCTGAGCACCTGGACACACTTCTGAGGTTCACGTGTTTCCTGGATGCTGCCGGGATATAAGGAGTGTCTAGGGGAAGTTGTCTTCATTCCTCTTCTCTGTTCAAAGCCTGCCCCTCAATTTTGATGGTTTGTAATGACGTGATACCTTGCATCCCAGAAGAGTTAATGTGGGAGTCTCTGTACTGAAAGACAACTGTCTTCAGGGTGAAATGCAGGAGACGGCTGGCACTGCTGCACATGCAATTGGAAAAGAGTCCGAAATCTAAAACAGAAAAATAAGTGCTGTAACAGCCCAGCATTCCTACCGAATGCTGCTGGCTCCAGCCTTGTTTCTCATCCCTACCAATCTGGTATTCCCTATGCGGAACCGGGATGTTGCCTTAAAAGCAAGAATGTGGGAATGAGCAGCGAGGAGCGAGCGCCAGAGCGTCAGGTTCCTGCCCGGCCTCTGTGCACGTTTGGGCACGCGATGCCACCTGATGCCACCACGATAGGGCTGTGTCACGGCCGCGTGCCTTGATCCAGGGGCCTGGTAGCAGTGACACGTGTGGCATTGGGACGGCACCGTGCAGTGCTGCCCTTGGCCATGGAGAGGCCGTAGCCGGGAGCCCGTCTGCAGGGGCTGATCTGCAGCAACCTGAACCCCTTGGGAAGGAAGGGCAGGACGCCCCGCTGTCCTGGAGGCAGAGCAGGGCTTCCCTTGCTCAGCTCCCGCTGGGAGCTCCGCATGGGAAGCGAGAGGGCAGGAATTGTGGCCAGACATCCCAGAGCGTTTGCACTTGGGGATCTGCAGGCCCGGGTTATTGCTGGCCTGGTCCCCGAGACCATTCATGCCAAGAGCTGCTTGTCTGCAAAGTAACTGTGCAGCGCAGCCCTGAGGAGCCAGAAGAATGGAGGATTCATCCGTGACTCGGTCCGGAACAGAGGCCCATTGAGCCTGGCAGCTCGCTTTTAACCCTGCCGTTCTCTTCTGTTTGCAGAGCGAGCACTTTTCCTTCCTGGGCATTAACAATCAGTCCAACCTGACTGACATGAGATGTCGGACTACTTTCTATACTGCACTTGGGCGTCTTCTCATGGTGGATTTAGGTATTACGGCCTTGTCCTGGGAACCAGAGCCGAGTGGCTCGGATGCTGGGCTCTGCGGGGTGCTACATGCTGCTGCTTAGGAGGCTGCAGGGCCAGGAAAGGGTGTGAGAAGGGGAAAAGTGGAATGGGATAAGAACGGGGAAGGGGAAAGAGCTAAAGAGCGGCTGGCTCATTGCTGTGTGCCAGACATAATCCATCAGATGCTTTGCTGAGATGGCAGGGCTTGTCCTAGGCTCTTCTAACGCAGCTGGAGACGAGCAGCGACAGCAGCTCCGTCTGCAGACGGGGTCTCCAGCTCTGGGGTGGGCAGCTCTCGACACATCGTGTGCTGGGGCAGCCGTGCAGGTGTCAGCACGGAGCCTTTTCCCTCCTGATTGCCTTCTTCTCGCAGGGGAGGACGAAGATCAGTACGAGCAGTTCATGCTTCCCCTGACAGCTGCTTTTGAGACTGTAGCGCAGATGTTCAGCACAAACACTTTCAATGAACAAGAGGCAAAAGTAAGTGGGGTCGGACCCCCGTGCTCTCCACCCTCTCCCTCTGCAGCGGGTTGCACATCCCAGGTTCGGTCACGCAGGAGAGAACAAGTAAAGCATGAGGAGAGAGGGACGTTCTTGCCCCTGGCGAGACGGTTGCCGGAGTGGGCGGCCTCTTCTCACAGTCCACAGGGATGCGGTGGTGTCCCCTGGGCTCTCCGGGTTCGGGATGCACCCCCTCATTCCAGCAGCCGGGCTGATCTCCCGGCTTTCCCCTGCTGGGAATGAGACACCCCAGCACAGACCCTGGCTAAAGGCTTGTGGCACTGCCGACATCAGGGCGCTGCGTTTTAACTTGTCCTGTTTTTCTTTCGCCATGCAGAGAACATTGGTGGGCTTGGTGAGAGACTTGAGGGGAATAGCCTTCGCCTTCAATGCCAAGACCAGCTTCATGATGCTCTTTGAATGGATGTATCCTTCCACTGCCCTTCCCACCCTGCCAGGCAGAGGGAACACTCTCCTGGCCATATCCAAATGCCATGTTCTCCTCGCTAAATATTGAGTGGGGTTTCACTTTTATAGTACCTGGTGTCATGGCTGGAAGCTCTAAAATGGCTTTAACTTGCTCTGTCCGAAGAGCTGCCTAGGGGCTTGGCCTGTAAATCCCAAAGCTTTTTGAGGGGATATCTACATCTCGGCACCAGCAAGGCTTCCTCCTACTTGCAAAGGCTGCCAGCAGTTTGGTAGGTTGGACCTCTAACAGTTGCTTGAAGAGCCTGGGGGTCTGCCCGGGCCGGAGGAGGTTGCCCTGGCACAGGGGCATCTGTGCAGTGCCCTGGGGCACGGCGGGTGCTTCCTTGGGGAGCAGCCCTAGTTAGCAGCGTCCCCCACACGCAGCCTCGGGCTGCTCGGCAGGGCCTGGGGACAGTGCACGAGCTGGCACTTCAGCTCCTGCCCTCGAGTGGCAGCTGCTGCCGTGTTGCCACCCAAGCTCCTTAGCCCTTCCCTCGCAGCTACCCGTCCTACATGCCAATCCTGCAGCGGGCGATCGAGCTGTGGTACCATGACCCAGCCTGCACGACCCCTGTCCTCAAGCTGATGGCCGAGCTGGTCCATAACAGGTAGGAGGCTCCGGCGGGCCTGGCACTCCACGGTGTCCGGCCGTTCGGGGTTGAGGCACCCAGTTGTGCTTTTGCTGTCCCTGCTTCCATCTATTTATACTTCACGAGGCACCCTGAGAAGTGGGATGAAACCAGCATTGGTTCAGCA